CCCGCCTCCGAAGCAAGGCCCCCCCGCCACCGAAGCAAGGCCGAAGCGGCTTGCCGCTCAGGCCTCGCTGCTCTCTTTCCCCCCCCAAGCGGCGGCGGCAAGGGAGTTCGCAGAGCGTTCCCTGCACATGCGCAGGGGACGCTCTGTCACTTTTGGGGGGATTTAAGTATCCCCCCGATATTTTTTCTGGGTTTTTAGATTTTTGTGCACACCTGGGGACTGCCCCAAGTGTGCACAAAAATCTCCCTTCCCCCCAGGTGCCCCCGATGCGCGGATTTAGGTATCCGCACGCACGGGGGCGACTTGGCTATTAGATATATAGATATTGACTTCGATGGACCAGAGTTCTGATTCAGTATGAGGCAGCTTCATGGCCCAAGGTCACAGTGAGCTTCCAGGGCACAAGTGGGGATTTGAATGCAGGTCTCCCAACACCCTAACCCCTATGCCACATTGCCCCCCCACTCTCACCTTCAGCCTCACACTCGATTTATATGTATGCCAAGGGTCTCTCTCTCTCTCTCTCTCTCTCTCTCAGCCAGTTTCTGTATATTAGATCTTAATCTGGTCTTTTCACCTCCAGGTGGCACACATGGTTCTCTTTCCCCCATTTTATCTTCACAAGGTGAGGTAGACCTAGCTATGAATGGCCCAAGATTATCCAGCAAGGTTCATGGTAGGGTGGGGATTTGAACCCATGTCACCTGCATCCTAGCCTGACACAAACTAACCTCTACACCAGGGGTGTCGAACTCATTTGTTATGACGGCTGGATCTGACATAAATGAGACCTTGTTGGGCCGGGCCATGTGTGTCATAAAATGTAATGCCAGGTAAGAACATAAGAACATAAGAGATGCCAATGTTGGATCAGACCAAAGGCCCATCCAGTCCAACACTCTGTATCACACAGTGGCCAGAAATACCCGTGCCATCAGGAGGCACACCAGTGGGGCCAGGACATTAGAAGCCCTCCCACTGTTGACCCCCCCCAAGCACCAAGAAGACAGAGCCTCACTTGCCCCAGAGCCCCTATCTATACCTTGTGGCTAATAGCCACTGATGGACCTCTGCTCCATATGCTTATCTAATTCCCTTTTGAAGCCGTCCATGCTTGTAGCCGCCACCACTTCCTGTGGCAGTGAATTACAAGTGTTAATCACTCTTTGGGTGAAGAAGTACTTCCTTTTAGCCGTTCTAACCCGACCGCTCAGCAATTTCATGGAGTGCCCACGAGTTCTTGTATTGTGAGAAAGGGAGAAAAGTACCTCTTTCTCTACCTGCTCTTTCCCATGCATAATCTTATAAATCTCAATCATGTTGTAAACCTCAATCAGGTAGCGGAGATATAAACTTTATAAAGGACACAAACACAAAGATATTTTTTAACTTAAAATAAAAACATGCTTAAAACATTAGCATTCTTGCAAGATTTTGTTTATTCAACAGTGTCTGATAACTGACACCTCTTGCTCTGAATTATTACATCAAAATGTCTGTGCTGCTGCAATCTTCAGTATGCTGTTCAGGTGTGTATCTGTAAGCTGCAAACCTACGATGACGTAGCAGCAGCAGAACTGGAAGAAGAAGCTGAAGACAGCCAGTTCCACTGCGGGCCTGATTCGGTCCCCGGGCCACATGTTTGACACCCCTGCTCTACACTATGCTGGGAGTCACGGTGACCTGCAAAGAGGGTGGGGCTATGCAGATGAAGGGGTGAGTCTATGCAGTGAGGACTAGGCTTCATTCTCCTTGGGCGGAGTCCCAGGGATCACGGTTTCCTCATTATTAATGTACTTCGCTTATACCCTGTCTTTCTTCACAATGAGAACAGCTTACATTGTTCTCTCCTCCTCCATTTTACCCTCACAACAACCCTGTGAGGCAGGTTATTGGAGAGTGTATGGCCCAAAGTCACCAAACAAGCTTCCATGGAAGAGTGGGGATTCATAGAATCATAGAGGAAGGGACCTCCAGGGTCATCTAGTCCAACCCCCTGCACAATGCAGGAAATTCCCCCCCCCCCACACACACACACAGTGACCCCTGCTCCATGCCCAGAACATGGCAAAAAACCTCCACAATCCCCAGGCAAACTGGCCTGGAAAACAATTGCTGCCTGACCCCAAAGGGACAATCAGCATTTCCCTGGACATGTAAGAAAGGGCCATGAGAACTAAGCACTGAGGCAACCCTTCCTGCCCTCCCTCTCATGATCTGCCTAAGTTCACAGAATCAGCATTGCTGTCAGATGGCCAACTAGCCTCTGTCTGAAAACCTCCAAAGAAGGAAAGCCCACCACCTTCCAAGGAAGCTTGTTCCACCAAGGAACCACTCTGTCAGGAAGTTCTTCCTAATGTTTAGCCGAAAACTCTTCTGATTTAATTTCAACCCGCAGGTTCTGGTCTGACCTTCTGGGACAACAGAAAACAACTCTGCACCATCCTCTGTATGATGGTTATCACATCACCTCTCCGTCGTCTCCTCTCCAGGCTAAACATACCCAGCTCCTTCAGCCTTTCCTCATGGGACTTGATCTCCAGACCCCTCACCATCTTCCTTGCCCTCCTCTGGACACGTTCCAGCTTGTCTAGATCTTTCTTAAACTGTGGTGCCCAAGACTGAGCACAATACCCTAGGTGAGGTCTAACCAGAGCAAAGTGGTACCATCACTTCGCATGATCTGGACACTGTACTTCTGTTGATACAGCCCAAAATCGCATTTGCCCAATCCTACTCTTGCACTCTAACCCGTGCACCATGCAGGATCCTCATGACCGAATGGCATCACCAAGTGCACCCCTTTACACTTCCCCATGCCATTCATTCGTGAAGAGTCGGACTCGACTGTGCGACTGAACAACAACAACAACATGCCACTCATGCCTGCAGCTGATCTCCGTACAGGAGGCAAGTAGACCTCCTGTGCCTCTCTTGGCAGCCCTTCCAACATTTACTCATCTCAGAGATTTATAGGCTGTGCTTTCAGCATAATGGCTCCAGCTTCCAGCAAGAAAAAGCCCAAATGATAGTTAATTAATAACAAAACAATGAAATCAACCAGCTGATGCAAACTGATGACTGATATAGGTTTTGGAAAAACCCAGAAGTGTTCACCCTTGAAACGTCAGCAAAACCATCAAGAAAACCAGCTGATGCAAACGAATTACAGTGCAGCCCTATACCAAATTACTCCCGTCTAAGCCCACTGGAACTTCTGCCAACACACGGACAGGCATTTGGCAATCATAGGCTGCGGTCACACGGAGCATTAGGCACGCTAGAGAGACGGAAGATAGGCGGATTTTCCGGGCGCGATCTCACCGCCACATCTGGGAAGCGTAGAGCTCCCGTGGTGAACCTGAGGCTTCCCGCCGAAGACGCGCAGTTAAAAACTAGTACCTCGGAGGTACTAGTTTCCGGTAACCGCGGGGCAAGGGCGGGCGTCTGATCGCGTTTCGGTGGTAGTTCCGGCGCCCGCCCATGCCCCCTTGTATAAAGGTGGTTTTTTTTCAACTGTCCATGGGATGCGCACAAGCACCCAACAGGGCATGTGCACTTTGGTGTCCAGAAAACAAAACACCCGTTTGCCGCGCCGCTTCTTTGCCGCAGCGCAGGATTGTGGTGTGCTTGGCGGGACCTCCACGGTACATCTGCTGGCGCAACCGTGCGTTATTTTGCCCTGGGGCAAACAGCCATGCCTCCCCCCCCACGATATCTGGCCCGTGTGACCGGGGCCATAGACTCTCAACGTCTACCCTGAGCCTGCTCCAGCAGGGAGGGCGGGGTATAAATCAAATAAAAAAATATTAAAAATTAAAATAAATAAACAGAACCTCTGAACACATACTGAGTGCCTCTCTCTCTCTCACCACCGAGAAACATCAGACAATGAGACATGGGACAGGGTGGAGCAAGTGGGTAGAGAGAGCTTTTCCTCCCTCTGTCGTGACAGTAGAACTTGGTGGCAGTGATGATGAAGTTGGGAGGGCTGTAGATTCAGCACAAAGAAGTGTTCCTTCACACAATGCTTCAT